TATATATATATATATATATACCTGTAGGAAGGAGGGAGTTTGGGCCACATGTCGTAGTTGACTTTAGAAGGAGGAGCCATGATATGAAAAAAATAATCAACCCACTCTATCTTTTCTTCAAGGTTTTTGGTCATTTTTGTGCCATAGCCCTCAAACTTACCATTGGAAGGGTCATTTGCATAAGCCTCTTTCTCTACACGAGGGAGGGAAAAGAACTCCTTACCAACCTCTTGCAAACGTTGGATCAACGTGTGTGATATACCGTGATCAGTTACCTGGAAAAACCCCCACTTAGAAGCAGCTTCGGCTATTTCCTTCACCAAAAGATCATGTGGTTGAGACAACGAGATGAGAGGCACAGTGACACCTGTCGGCATTTAAACCAAGTCTCACGTTATCAAAACAAAAGATAAAAATAAAATTTTATAATATACATACTTTATTGAAATAAAGAAACATTTTTTGTGCGATAATTAAAAGTAAATTCATGATAATTTCAATTTAAAGTAGATAATATGAAGTTACGTGGAATTTCCCCTAACAGCATGGTCAAATAACTATATATACGCCACTTTAAATAAGTATAATCCCAAACAAATACAAAATAACTCATCTATCTAATACCTTCTAGGGCTTTAGTGTTTTCTGGCCTTTCATTTGCTGGACGAATGAACTGAGGTGGAATCTCTTTGAGGTTATCCAAAGCCAAGGTTTGTATTCTTCCCACTTCCATTATGAGGTGGTAATGAATATGCTTGTTACAAACTACAAGAATTGGAGATAAAATAGTCTTGAAAAGATGGGTCAAGTTGGCCGATATGATCACTGATCAGTCAATATATATAGATACACGATCCAACATCTCGGTGTTATATATATAAAGATGCATTCACTATTTTTTCCATTCGGTCAAACCTAATTTATCCATCCACCATTCAATTGACTTGCCGCTGTTATTTGGAATTTTCTATTTAAATACATATGGTTTTATATAAATAATAACCGACAGCTTAGACATTGGAGTTGCAATAATAAATTAAAACCGAGGACTTCATTTAGAGTTTCAGTTATGTATGTAAGTTTATGCAATCAGTTTCTTTCTTCTTTTTTTTTTTTCTTGACTCAATCAGTCAGTTTCTTTTAAAAACCAAATATTTATTAATAAATTGAAATAGATATATGGCTTTAACTTAATCATTGACTCGGCGATATTATTATTTTTTTACATAAAATTTAATACATTATTTGATCTTGAACTTTTTACAAAATTTTAATTTCGTCCCTAAACTAAAATAATATATTCAGGTGTGTAACGACCCGACTGGCCATTCACTCACCACTAAAACACACCGGAAACACTAGACAGAATAGAACAAGTGTATAAATATAGAGTCTAGAATATAAGTATATACATATGTCCCGAATCTGACTAGAGTTAGGGCACGTAATATAGGGATTACATCAATTAGTCACTCTGCCAAGTGACCAAAACAAACAGAACATCCGCAGAAATCAGCTCCATCTATCGGCTGCCAATTCATCACTATCCATCACCTATCCCTGCTCTGCTCCCGTACATAGTACGATCATAGCAGTCCAATCACATGGAAACACAAAGGGTAAGCTAGCATAAAGAAAACAACATATAGCAAGATTTTTAAGAAAATATAAACAACCACGACTATTTATGCTTCATCAACATACATTCCCTCGATTTTCAACGTGATCATCAATAAGCATACAATGCGTCGTCACGCATATCAACTCGGAGATCTCCTACAACAACTCAGCCTTTCGGCCTACGTCAACTCAGCCTTACGCCCTACAACAACTCAGCCTTGCGGCCTACAACAACTCATATCAATATTCCAACACAACATAACTTATACATCTCAACATATCAACTCACAACACAACACAAACGTACAACTCAACATATCAACTTCACAGTTCAACAAATCAGCTACAACATAACACCACTTCTCAACACATTCATCAGATACAATTCAATATCAATAATAACTTTATCTGCTAGACATCATTTCATAACCTTCTATTTCAATTCAACTCAGCATAAAACTTCATACATAACCATCCCATCTCCGCGCCCGGCGCGCACGTGGCTGCGCCCAGCGCAGCGCAACCAGAGAGCACCACAGAGCACCAGGGGGCCAGCGCGCCCAGCGCAGGTGTGCCCGCGCCCAGCGGGACTCCCAGAGAACCCAAGGCTCTCTCGCACTTGGCGCAATGGCTATTGCGCCCAGTGCTGGCCAGGCAGAGACTCAGAGGAGTCTCACGCGCCCGGCGTACCTAAATCCCGCGCCCAGCGCAGGGAAGGCAGAGACCTCCCTTGATCCCGCGCCCAGCGCACTTCAAATTGCGCCCAGCGCCCACAAGGCAGAGACTCCCAAGGAGTCTCACGCCCAGCGCAACAAGGGGCGCGCTCAGCGCCCAATAGAAAACCCAAAATTTGCCACAACTAGTATCGCGCCCAACGCGGTCCAGGTCACGCCCAGCGCGGGCCAGCCAAAGACCCACCTCCCCAAGCGCGCCCAGCGCATTCATCATTGCGCTCAGCGAGCTTGGCCAAATGGGGTCCCCTGGTGGCCACGCGCTCAGCGCGAAGCTTAGCAGCAGCCAGCCATATTCGAAAAACTCTTCAAACAATCTGCAAAACAACCAGAAACTTCACATGCAATCGGTTCGAATTACTACAATTTCATCCAAGAGTCCAAAAATACCACCTTTTTCAACATGCAACAACAAATCAAGGATTTTCCCCAAAATTTCTCAACAACCCCGAAACCCAAAAAAAAACCAAGTTCTCTTTCAATTCAACCACGAATTATCCATCAATCAGCATCTAATGAGTTTCTCAAACTCGTCCACAACCACAACAGCAAAAAAAAAAAAAGTACTAGCTTCCCTTACCTCGGCCTAAGATTCCGAGCTTCGGGTGGAAAAGAATGAAGGAGAAGAGAAGCTTGGAAGTGAACGGAGAAGAAATCAGCTGGAGGAATCAGTTCACATCCCCTAAGCACCTTCAGCTGCCAAGAATCGCCACCAGCAAAAGGGAGAAAAGGAGAAGTGAGTATTTGGAGAGAAAATGAGTTGTGTGGGGAAGGGTGAGTGAGGCTGAGAGAAGAAAAAAAAAATGTAAGGGTGAAAATGGGAAATGAAAGAAAATAGGGTCCTCACAACCTCCCCGACAACAAAAGTTTTCGTCCCCGAAAACAGGCTTACTTGGGAATAGAAATGGATATCGCTCCCTGCACTGCTGCTCCACCTCCCAAGTAGCCTCACCAGTAGCTGCATCCCATAACACCTTCACCAGAGTAATGGACTTACCCCTCAACTCTTTCAGATTATGATCAATAACCGTTACTAGCAACTTCTCAAATGTCAAGTTCTCCTTTACTCGCACATCGTCTAGCTCCACCACATGACTCAGGTCATGAATGTACTTCCTCAGCTGAGACACATGAAATACATCGTGTAGTTTTGAAAGAGATGGTGGCAAAGCCAACCGATAAGCGACTGGACCTACACGCTGTATGATCTAATAGGGACCCACAAACCTTGGTGTCAACTTCCTTGCCCTCAACATTTTTATATGTAAACTCAAAAAAAATTTAAAAAAATTAATTTAATTATAAAATGAATAATCTAAATTATACTTATAAAATAAAAAGTAAGATAAAATTATAGAAATTAAAATTATAAGATTAAGAAAAAAATTAATAAATAGTATAAATAAAAAATTATTAAAATTAGTCCCCAAAATACCTGTCTCAACCGACTGCCACAACACAACACATAGTTGAAAATCAAGCTTCTTCCATTTAGCTCGACTTTCATCTGAACCCTCAGGATCTTCCATTTCTAAGTGATTGTGGTACCCTTGACCAAGGAACCATAGTTCCATAGAGGCAGCCCATGATAAATAATTTTTTCCATTGAGCTTCTCCGTGGTTATGGTCGGAGTGCCAGAAATGGGCAAAATAGGACCTAGAGATGCCATAGGAGGAAGGATCGTGCAACAGGGATTAAAGAGAGAAGACCAGCAGAAGAGAAACGCAGACCCACTCCTTAAATAGTGGTCAAATCAAAAAATTGAGTCCAGAAATAGGCTCAGAAGGCTCCGACAAACAAGGTAGTGGCTGAATGAGGAAGTTCTGACGAACAAATGGCGACACGTGAACAGTATGCGCTTGATAAAATCGGATAGAGAAGCGGTAGGTGAGCGCATGAGACCTCCAATGACACTGGAGTTGATAGGGTTAGGTTGCGCTTGATGAGGCACACCAAACCATAGGTTTGCTGGAGTAAGAGGTCATCGATAGACGGCGGCGAATGGCAGCGGACGGCAGAGCAGGATCGACCCCGCTTTGATACCAACTTGAATATTGAAATAAGCAGAAAAAGATTAGTATCGCTGATCTGTCTATTTTCCTTACATTAGGAGTGATAATGATTAGGATTACAAGAAAAAGGTTGAAGAGTCTAGAAGCCTAAGCAATCGCATCAAGAGAGAGTACAATCAAAACAAAAATACAGTAAAATATTTAAACAAAAGAGGCTTTCTGAACAAGCTATTCTAACAACCTTAAGTGGTTGTTATATTTAATGTTAGTTATTAGTGAATGCATAGGAAATGAAGTTAACAATAAATGAATGGTAAAAAAGAAATGTAACCTTAAGTAACTTTAAAAACTAATGAATGTTGCTTATGATTAAGATAAAAACTAATTTGTTGCTTATAATTAGAACTAGAGGTAGTATTTGATAATATTAGGCTAAATTTCACATTTAGTTCTCTTTTTTATCTTCTTTTATATTTTTATGAGATAAAAAAAAATGTGAACTAAAAGTGAAATTTAGCCTAAAAATTAATTTTTAATTGTCATTTCATCTACTTTAACATTAGATCATAACTAACGTTACAATTCTAACGATTAGTGGACAAACATTCGACAATGAGACTAAAATTGCAAAATTAAAAATAGAGAGAAAAAAATTACAAATTTGATATTATTAAGGGACCAAAGTGCAATTTAGCCAAAAGAAAAATTAAATATGCTTAAACTTGGTTATGCGTAAGTTAACAATAAGTTTTTGAAAAATATAATATAAAAAAGTTTCTACAAATTAACTTGTGCAATAGCTAGTTTTAGCCTATAGAGAAGTTAATTTTAATTTTTCCTGCTAAAAGTACTTGTGAAGAAATTTATTGCCATGATATGAAAAAAATAATCAACCCACTCTATCTTTTCTTCAAGGTTTTTGGTCATTTTTGTGCCATAGCCCTCAAACTTACCATTGGAAGGGTCATTTGCATAAGCCTCTTTCTCTACACGAGGGAGGGAAAAGAACTCCTTACCAACCTCTTGCAAACGTTGGATCAACGTGTGTGATATACCGTGATCAGTTACCTGGAAAAACCCCCACTTAGAAGCAGCTTCGGCTATTTCCTTCACCAAAAGATCATGTGGTTGAGACAACGAGATGAGAGGCACAGTGACACCTGTCGGCATTTAAACCAAGTCTCACGTTATCAAAACAAAAGATAAAAATAAAATTTTATAATATACATACTTTATTGAAATAAAGAAACATTTTTTGTGCGATAATTAAAAGTAAATTCATGATAATTTCAATTTAAAGTAGATAATATGAAGTTACGTGGAATTTCCCCTAACAGCATGGTCAAATAACTATATATACGCCACTTTAAATAAGTATAATCCCAAACAAATACAAAATAACTCATCTATCTAATACCTTCTAGGGCTTTAGTGTTTTCTGGCCTTTCATTTGCTGGACGAATGAACTGAGGTGGAATCTCTTTGAGGTTATCCAAAGCCAAGGTTTGTATTCTTCCCACTTCCATTATGAGGTGGTAATGAATATGCTTGTTACAAACTACAAGAATTGGAGATAAAATAGTCTTGAAAAGATGGGTCAAGTTGGCCGATATGATCACTGATCAGTCAATATATATAGATACACGATCCAACATCTCGGTGTTATATATATAAAGATGCATTCACTATTTTTTCCATTCGGTCAAACCTAATTTATCCATCCACCATTCAATTGACTTGCCGCTGTTATTTGGAATTTTCTATTTAAATACATATGGTTTTATATAAATAATAACCGACAGCTTAGACATTGGAGTTGCAATAAAAATGCTACTCCTCTGAGTATCGGCTCTCTGTGCATCGCTCCTCTGAGTACTCCTCTTCGGACTACCCCTGGTGGGACAGTTGAAAGACACATGTCCCACCTACTGACATCTGAAACACCTGCTCTCAGTGTGTGGACAATCCCTGATCAAATGGGATCCATCACATCTGTAACACCTAAGGGCAGCACCTCCACCTTGTCCTCCCCCTCTGGTAGTCTCAGTAGGTTGCCTAATGGCAGGACCCCTTTGTTGTGGTTGGGGCCTATCATACGGCTTCCCCTGACTTCCACTTCCTCTCTTGGACCCAGCTGGTCCCTCAGTAGCTATGATCACCCGGCTACTCCCTTCCAACCTCTCTACAATCTTCTTCACATCCCCTAAGCACCTTCAGCTGCCAAGAATCGCCACCAGCAAAAGGGAGAAAAGGAGAAGTGAGTATTTGGAGAGAAAATGAGTTGTGTGGGGAAGGGTGAGTGAGGCTGAGAGAAGAAAAAAAAAATGTAAGGGTGAAAATGGGAAATGAAAGAAAATAGGGTCCTCACAACCTCCCCGACAACAAAAGTTTTCGTCCCCGAAAACAGGCTTACTTGGGAATAGAAATGGATATCGCTCCCTGCACTGCTGCTCCACCTCCCAAGTAGCCTCACCAGTAGCTGCATCCCATAACACCTTCACCAGAGTAATGGACTTACCCCTCAACTCTTTCAGATTATGATCAATAACCGTTACTAGCAACTTCTCAAATGTCAAGTTCTCCTTTACTCGCACATCGTCTAGCTCCACCACATGACTCAGGTCATGAATGTACTTCCTCAGCTGAGACACATGAAATACATCGTGTAGTTTTGAAAGAGATGGTGGCAAAGCCAACCGATAAGCGACTGGACCTACACGCTGTATGATCTAATAGGGACCCACAAACCTTGGTGTCAACTTCCTTGCCCTCAGTGCTCTTCCCACACCAGAGGTCGGAGTCACTTTCAGAAACACATGCTCCCCTTCGACGAACTCCAAAGGCTTCCTCCTCTTGTCAGTATACGACTTCTGTCTACTCTGAGCAGTCTTCATCCTTTCCTGAATTATCTTTACCTTCTCAGTGGTCTGTAGGATTAGCTCCGGGCCTACCACCACTGATTCACCATTCTGGTACCAGCACAAAGGAGTCCTACATCTCCTGCCATACAATGCTTCAAAGGGTGCCATCCCAATGCTTGCGTGAAAGTTGTTGTTGTAGGTGAACTCAACCAACGGTAGGACCTCCTCCCAGCTACCCAAGTGGTCTAACACACAAGCCCTAAGCAGATCCTCCAAGGACTGGATTGTCCTTTCCGACTGACCATCCGTTTATGGATGATAAGCAGAGCTCAACTTCAACTTCGTGCCTAAGGCTTGGTGTAGACTCTGCCAAAATCTGGAAGTGAACCTCGGATCTCTGTCTGAAATAATACTGGAAGGCACCCCGTGCAACCGTACTATTTCCCTCACATACAACTGCGTCAGCTTCTCCAAGGACCACTTGATGTTGACAGGCCAAAAGGGAGAAAAGGAGAAGTGAGTATTTGGAGAGAAAATGAGTTGTGTGGGGAAGGGTGAGTGAGGCTGAGAGAAGAAAAAAAAAATGTAAGGGTGAAAATGGGAAATGAAAGAAAATAGGGTCCTCACAACCTCCCCGACAACAAAAGTTTTCGTCCCCGAAAACAGGCTTACTTGGGAATAGAAATGGATATCGCTCCCTGCACTGCTGCTCCACCTCCCAAGTAGCCTCACCAGTAGCTGCATCCCATAACACCTTCACCAGAGTAATGGACTTACCCCTCAACTCTTTCAGATTATGATCAATAACCGTTACTAGCAACTTCTCAAATGTCAAGTTCTCCTTTACTCGCACATCGTCTAGCTCCACCACATGACTCAGGTCATGAATGTACTTCCTCAGCTGAGACACATGAAATACATCGTGTAGTTTTGTGCCCAGCACAGCGCAACCAGAGAGCACCAGGGGGCCAGCGCGCCCAGCGCAGATGTGCCCGCGCCCAGCGGGACTCAACTAGAGAACCCAAGGCTCTCCCGCGCTTGGCGCAATGGCTATTGCGCCCAGCGTTGGCCAGGCAGAGACTCAGAGGAGTCTCACGCGCCTGGCGTGCCTAAATCTCGCGCCCAACGCAGGGAAGGCAGAGACCTCCCTTGATCTCGCGCCCAGCGCACTTCAAATTGCGCCAACGCCCACAAGGCAGAGACTCCCAAGGAGTCTCACGCCCAGCGCAACAAGGGGCGCGCTCAGCGCCCAATAGAAAACCCAAAATTTGCCACAACTAGTATCGTGCCCAACGCGGTCCAGGTCACGCCCAGCGCGGGCCAGCCAGAGACCCACCTCCCCAAGCGCGCCCAGCGCATTCATCATTGCGCTCAGCGAGCTTGGCCAAATGGGGTCCCCTGGTGGCCACGCGCTCAGCGCGAAGCTTAGCAGCAGCCAACCATTTTCGAAAAACTCTTCAAACAATCTGCAAAACAACTAGAAACTTCACATGCAATCGGTTCGAATTACTACGATTTCATCCAAGAGTCCAAAAATACCACCTTTTTCAACATGCAACAACAAATCAAGGATTTTCCCCAAAATTTCTCAACAACCCCGAAACCCCAAAAAAAACCAAGTTCTCTTTCAATTCAACCACGAATTATCCATCAATCAGCATCTAATGAGTTTCTCAAACTCGTCCACAAGCACAACAGCAAAAAAAAGAAACAAAAGTACTAGCTTCCCTTACCTCGGCCTAAGATTCCGAGCTTCGGGTGGAAAAGAATGAAGGAGAAGAGAAGCTTGGAAGTGAACAGAGAAGAAATCAGCTGGAGGAATCAGTTCACACCCCCTAAGCACCTTCAGCTGCCAAGAATCGCCACCAGCAAAAGGGAGAAAAGGAGAAGTGAGTATTTGGAGAGAAAATGAGTTGTGTGGGGAAGGGTGAGTGAGGCTGAGAGAAGAAAAAAAAATGTAAGGGTGAAAATGGGAAATGAAAGAAAATAGGATCCTCACAAGGTGCTTAATAATTTTTTTTATATTTTGTAATTTAGTAATCGAGGTAAGAGGTCCATTTACATGCCGTGAAAATTTACTAAATATTTTTTTATATTCTTATACTTTGACAACCACGTCAGATTACTAATTAATTTCATCATCAACGTATATTAGGTTTTAATTCCTAGCTATAAAATCTCCTTAATCATAAGAATTATGGAATAGTATGAAATTTTAACATGTAGGGACTAGGGATTATAACCTGATATATGAGACAAAAATATAACATGAAATAATAATTTAATATAGTTATTATCCAAATATAAAGATATAAAGAATATTCTATCAAATGTCATCGATAGTAAATGAACCTTTAAATTCAACTCCAAAGATTAAATTATAAAAATGTAAAAAGATAAATGACTCAATTGCAAACCTTTTAATTTAGGGACCTAATTAAAAAGTTCTAAAAAATCCAAGGACTAAATAATATATTGAAACTATTTAAATGATGGGTGACAATGTAACATTTTATTTTTTAAAAAATATATTAATAATTATAATAGGATTATTTTTTTTAGTAGGCTTAAATTAATTTATTTATCTGGGTTATTAAATAAATTAAGGATATATTTTATAATAAAATAAAAAAGTTGGTTGATGAATATTTTAGCCTGATGCTTAATTGGTGGGTTTGGACTGTAGAACCTCAACTTGTTAGTTAACCTATAGAGAGTCTAGGGATTGAGTTAAAATACATTTAAGAAGTTTAGTTTGTTTTTCTGACTTAGAGAACTCTAGAGAAGACTCTATCGGTCGGAGAAATAAGAGAACCTTTATGAGAAGAATTAGGATCAATTAACCACATCCTTACACTCAAGGTCGTGGCTAAGATAAGACTAGTGAGACCATTGTCTTAGACTTCAACCAACTCTATTTTTTTAAATAATTAATTTTAATTTTAATAATAAAATAATATATTTTATTATATTTTTTATATTAATTTTTTTAGTACGTAAGATAATATAATTATTTGAAATAAATAATTATATACATTGATATTATTATAGGATATTAGCTTCAAAATTTCATTATAATTTAAAAATTTATATTCATTAGCTTTTGAATTTTAATAAAAAAATTATTTAAATGAATATAAAAGCTAAATTTTATAAAAGGGAGATTATATAATTTAATGAAAATGATAGTAATAATTAAGATTGTAAAGAACATCAAGTAAAGATTTTTTTTTTGTTACTTCTAAACAATTCTTTTTCTAGTTTTGATTATTTTATATCAATATTAAGTTATTTTATTTTATTCAGAAATTATTTTTAAAAATTAAAATATGAAATCATTTTAAAAAAAATATTTTAATTTCAATAAATAATATTTTCAAAGAAATATTGTATTAATTTTATATTATTCCTCATAACTTTTTTTTTCTTCTCCAAATTAAAGTTTCTGAAACTATATTGTCAAAACAAATTAGTGTTACATCAGAAGTATATTAAACTATATTAAAAATTATTTTTTTAAATGCTTGAAATATATGTTTATAATATAATATAAGTAAAATTTATAATTATTGTCATTATTATTTTATAAAATTTAATTTTTTTACATTTTAATTTTGAGATTAAGTTGCAAAATAGTAATTGAATAAATTATCATTGTGTGAGATGTTGAAATTTCTTAATTATTAAATTTAATTAAAAATTTATCATTTGAAATTAAAAATAAAAATTGATTAATTATGTGAGAGTAAAATTTAAATAAAATTTTGAGCATTGATGACCATTGCTTAATATATTTTGACACCTCTTGTATGAGATGGATCTTTTCTAAAAAGGTTCCATCTTTGAGTATAGAAAGCAACTCTTTGAGTCGAAAAACAAAATTCACCAAAAAAAAATTAATAAATTTTTTGTATCAGGTCTACAAATTTGTTAAACATAATCCAATATAAGGATTACGGGTAATGTGTTTTTGTAACAACTCAATAGATCACTATACTTTGCATAACACAACAACAGTGAAAAACATAAAGATCAACTATCCTAAAATTCTCATTCAAATAATACTTGAATATCAAAGCAACACACACACATATAAGGTTTAGAAAACATAAAGAAATTTTTGCTCATATCAACTTCAAAACATATAGTCCCTTGTGAGGTAACAATAATCTTTGTACATATATAAATAACTATAAGTATCTATATTTAAAACATAAAATCCTAGGTTTCGATCATGCAACCATATACATCATTATATTATAACAACTCCAACAAAATGCAATCTCCAACATGACCATATGTAGAGAAAAGAAAGACACTAGAAGGGGAGGTATTGAATAATGTCAATAAAAAAACTCATCACTTTTTAAATTGCAAAATAGTAGTGTGATTATAAGAGTGTAGGCAAAGAGAGAAAAAACAAAGAATACAAAATATTTTTATACTGTTTCATCTCTGTTGGTCCTAGTTTACAAGAATCTAGAAGGGGGGTTCAATAGATTCTATCCTAAGATGACTCTCTTTTTGACCATTTCTTGATAAAGACCTATCAAAATATCTAAAATTCAACCTTTACTCAATTTGTTTTAACAAAGAATAGTAGATTACAAGATTTATTATCAATGTATCAGAATATCAACGTTCATGCAGCGAAATAATTACTTGTAACCAAGGTTGATTTTATATTACCTTCTTTTTAATCAATTTCAATTACAAGAATAAAGATAAGAGTTGGTACTGCAATTGAAATTTCATATCTCAGAAATCTTTATATTCTTTAAACAAAAAATTAGCAAGATTCTTTGAAGATAAGGGTAAGAAGATAAAGAACACATAAATTTATACTGGTTCAGCCATCCACTTGGCCTACATCCTACATCCAGTTTTCCCAAATTTAGCACCCCACTAAATCAAAGATCATTCACTATAATATTGTTTACAAACACCTTGCACACACAATATTACAAGAATTCAAACAAACATTAATCTTGACACCATAAGATTGAAAACAAACAAAATTTCTGTACCCCACAGAAATTACTTGAGAAACCCTACTCAAGATTTCAAAATCTCTTCTTGAGACACCTTATCTAAAGAGATACACCAATCAAAATGAAAATAGAAGTTTAAAGATAAAAAAGATATCACCTAATTTCGTGTAGATATTGATCTTTCACTCTTGAATACATTTCTTGAATTTCTTCCTTCAAGAATTCATGTTCTATCTTTGCACTTCTTGAAATTTCAGAAAAATTCTTTGATAAGCCTTGAATCTTGTTTGTGAAAGTAATCTTTTTCTCAAATGTTTTTCTTTCAAAAGATTTTCAAAAAAAATTTTCTAGTTCTCTTTTTAATTTCAAAAAGATTGATTTTATAGAGTGCAAGACGTGATTCAATTATAAAGAGTAATAACAGAGGTAATCTATTACCTGATATGGTAATTTGTTATCAGCTCTTTAAAATGAACCAGAAGCACAAATATCTCCAGGGTAATTGATTACGGGATATGGTAATCGATTATCCTGAGCTTTCTAAGATCCAGGCTTGCCTTTCGTTCTATGATAATCGATTATCTCTAGTGGTAATCGATTAATGTGATGAAAACTTTGATTCTTCATCCTTTTTTTCAAGCAAGAGAGTTTATTTTAATCTATTACCAACTTTGGTAATCTGTTACCTTAGAGACTACTTGAAAAAAATTTTCCAGTAACAGACGTGGTAATCTATTAACACAGAGGACATTTTAATATCCTTTTCCAGTAACAAATTTGGTAATCTATTACCCTGAATGGTAATTGATTAACAACATTACCTTGAAAACTCTTGTTTGAATCAAGTCATATTTCTATGTTTAAACACTCGGTAGTAAATTACCCTTTTTAAGATAATCTATTACTTTATGTTTACTCATGGGAATACTAAAAAATCAAATTCTTGATTTCTTAAAAAACTTGATTAGTTCTTGAATTAAGCATTCATCATCATCAATCATAAACAAACACACACACAAACCTATATCTATTACAATCAATACAATATCCTTTTGCATAGGCTCAAACACCATTTATACATTAACATCATCAAAACTAAAACTTCTTGAGGAGTCTTCAAGTCATCTCAATGATCTTCATCATCTCAACAATCCCAACTACTAAGACTACGTCTAATTTTTGATCGACCTGATCAATTTTCTCTATGTTTCACAAAGATACAAGTATTCTTTCATAAGTCACTTGTGGCTCAACCTAAGTATTCTTTAACTTGCCTCTTCAAGCAACTATTCAAGTATTCTTTGAACAATGAAACATTTCCAAGCTTCAATAATCAAGTATTATTTATAAAAATAAATAAATAAATAAAAAGTCTGTCTAAGCTTCAACAATCAAGTATTCTTTAAGTGAAAACCTTTTCAGACTTCAAGAAATAACACAAAGATAAAGATGAAAATTCACTTATTGTTTTGTTTTACTTTCAAGACATGATACAACCAAATTTTGTACAAAGATTTTACACAAAAAAAAATGAATGAATATTTTACAAATGTTGTTCTCTATCTTTCTAAATGTTTAAGCTTCTTTATATAGTTTTTTCATGAATCCATTGCAAATCCTTGAGCTTCTCTAACAAGCTTGTTTCATCTTTCTTTGTTTTCCTTCCTTATATAGAGAGAAATGTCTATTGGTGCATTAATTGTGAGTATTAAACGCATCTCACCAAATTGTCACTTCTTATCTAATCAAGGAAGTTACTTAACACCTTTAACAAAATGGAAGGAAATACTACCTATGTCAATTAAAAATAACTTTGTTTGAGACTTCACACACTTCAAGTGATTTTTTTGTCCATTATTTAACGTAAAGCATGTCTCCATTCCTTTTTGAAGTTCAAGTACCAAATAAATTTTTATTCCTTCATTTGTTAAGGAATAATATAAACAAAGATGATTTGGTTATCAAACATCATAAATAATGTATATTTAATGTATTTGTCTCTCAATTGAAGTGATTTATCTGAGAGACTACATGTCATCATAACCAAATATTTATTTGAATCCATCTTACTAAGTAATTTGAAAAATCATTTTCTTAACAAAGATGTTTGAGTTTATTAACATTAAAACTTGTGTATTGAGGGATCTAAGATCGTCTTTGATCTAACAGTTTCTCCCTTTTTGATGTTGACAAACACATTTTTGAAAATAGTAAGTTTTTAAGCACATCAAATCTAGTCAATTTTGTTTCTAAGACATGATCAGAAATTTAAGATATATCAAAACATATGCTAGTAATTGATGAAGTAACATGTGAAACATTATTTTTTACCTTTATCACAGAAAATATAATCACTTAGAGCGAAAATAGTTCATAACATGTTCAAAGACTATCAGAGCATAACTAGAGTAAATTTATCAATGCATAAATATCAAAGTATGACATAAATAATTACCAGAGAAAAAAAATCAAGTGTTTTGTATACTCCCTTTGAGATGGAATGAGAAAAAGAAATTAATTCAAAAACTTAATATTATCATAGCAAAGCAAAAATACAAAACTTAATGTTATTAACAAAGTTGCAAAAATTTAAAAAGTTTCTACTACTACTTCTTTTGGCACCAACAAAAGTCGATACCAAGGGAACACAATAAAGCCACTAGTCAAGAGATGATTCATTGTTAGAGCTAACATCCAAATGAAGTTTGTAGAGAAACTTCTAATATTTATGGTCAAAGCAATGTTGTTGACAAATAGATTGTTGAAGTGTGGTGACTGATGTAGTGACCATTGTCTTCAATTTTAGGATTGTCTCTAACACTTTAGGGACTTCTACAAAAAAAAAGGTGGTGACATTTGCTCTTCCTATTCAAGAGAAGGAGAAACAACACGAGCAGGATCATTATATGTATACAGAAAGCATATATTTATAGCTAAATAAAAACTAAAATTAAAACATAAGAGGGATGGATAGATGTAATGGTGACGTGGTTGATAAAGAGCATTGTGAGTAAAATGACACATCTCAAAGTGAGTATAAGGTAATCTTACTTTAGATGCTCTAGGCCGGTGAGCTATAGCATAACGCAGATATCTAATAATACATGAGATCAATTACTTAAAATACGTTATACCATTATTAAATATGAATATGATTCCACCATAGGAAACTGATTCAACAACAACCATATTTTGAAATATTTTTATTTTTTTTAATGATAAATTAATTTTTAATATAAAAATATTTATTTAAAATATATCTAATTATACATATATATTTTAAAATTATATTAATTAAATATGTATATAATAGTTTATCCTAAAAATCAATTCATTTAGATATTAAAAAATATTTTTTTAAACATCAATTAAATAATACCCTGCTACTTATAATTTATTTAAATATTTATAAATGAATATTACATTAACTCTATTGATTATTTTAATTCTTGTCTTTAATTTTATTATATAAAAATTATTTACCTAATATATTTTGAAATTATTTTCATGAATCTTATTTTATTTCAATTGTTATTTTAAAAGTTAGACTTAACCATTCAATTCAATTGATATAATCATGTTAGTTTCATTGTTTAAAAGTAATTGACTTATATAAAAATTAGTAAGAATTATTGAAACAATTATAAAATGAAATATTTTTTAGTAATTTAAAAAATTATTATCTTTTGGGTTTAATTTACTCAAAGATGTTCATAGTATTTAACTTATGATATATACACCTCCTTTTTATTACAATTACACCTCCTTTGTTTATAAAGGCTAAAATTGCTGACAGTAGAGCTCAAATCCATACACATACTTACGTGGAGAAAATCATAAGTTTTCCCCCTTAACTTATTGCTCAAACCACCAGCTTGT